CAACTTCTTATAGCACTCTTATCGATCCAAAGTTAACGACTAAACCAAAACATCCATAATCGAGCGCTTTCAATCATATCTGAGCGTATAACCCACGCAAGTGATCAGTAGACAGAGTTATAATGGACATCGCAAAACAAGATTGAAAATCTGAAAGGATCGCTAATAAGGGGACTCACATTCATTCCATGTATACATACAAAGTACATCGACAAGGAGAATCCGAGACGATTTACAAAAGAAGTCGAAAAAGAAGGCCGCGACAAAATCGACCATATCCGGATCCAAAATTGTACAGAGGAACAGAGGAAAAGACAGGAACAACGAAAAAAACCTTATCCCACGCCCACACAACTGCTCTCTCTCTCTCTCTCTCTCTCTCTCTCTCTCTCTCTCTCTCTCTCTGCTCCACAGAACCCCCCCGATACCCGACACCAGCTTGTCGGATCGCCCAACTCTCACACTCACTCACCTTCCAAACTTGCTCGTTAGCCGACCCTCACTGATCGCGCTAACCTCGAAATTCTTAGAGAGCAAACTAATCGCGCTTGCAAAATTTATAGTGTGCATGCCTGCGCGAAAGGTACGGGATTAAGCCCAGGTGGACAAGAGGAGATAAGAGGAAGTGCCTACGTCTGCATGGCCAGGCCGCGGCGTGGGGGTCGTAACCACACTCCAGGCATCAATCCGGTCGTACAGGCGCTCCGACCAATTAGAACAGAGTATGCGAGGCGAGGAAGAAGGAGAAGGCGGGCAAACGCGAGGACATCGCGCCCGCCAAAAACGACAGTTGCACAAGATTAAGGGCGCGATCCAGTCAGAGCCCAGTTCCCAGCGCAGCAAGGTGCGCGCAAGCGCGGCGCAGCAAAATTAAGCGTACCTAAATTCCTAGCCTAAATCCTAATTGCAAAAGGAAATTCCGAAAAAGAGAGAACAATTTTCCACGAGCCCATGGGGGCTCGACATCAGTTTGAAAATTCAAAAACGATATTCCCGCGTGGTGATCGCGCCAAAATTCCCAGTGCTCACAGCAGAACAAGAAAGAAGCTATGGTACAGTTATTTCTCGCGCTCGTCATGGCGCGGCTACCCAACCGTCGGCACAGGATTTTCCCGACATTGATCCGACAATTCCCAGCAGAAAAACGAAAAGAGACGAGGGCCTTTATGCAATTTGCCCGCCTGACCCATCTTCCCACAGTTCACCCGTCCGACCCGTCGTATTTCCCCAAGCAGCTTCGCGCAGAAAGTCGCGCGATCACAGAAAATAGTTCGTCACACCAACTCCTGCAGACAGGAGTAAACAGCTGTGGTTGTCAGCCCCATCAATCCAATGGATCAACTGAAAAAGATCAGGCCTCCTGATAGATAACAAGGGCGTCTGTAAAAAGTAGTGGTGGTTTGGGTGTGTTTCACCACTGGTTTCTCCCTGCTGCTGCGCACATGTTACCCCTCTTCCTGTTTTGCTCCTCCGTCTGGCCCACCAAACCAAGTCTGTCTTTTGTCCGCGTTTTTTTCTTGCTCTTGCATGAATGTGATGGCTTCTCTGTAGTTCGCGTTTTAGGGCGTTTGGCCGGTGCAGCAGTATCAAATCATTGTGTTAATGACTTTGCATGTGGGGTGCCTGACGATCCCTGCTGACCTTATCTCTGTGATGAATGCAGGGTGATGGAGGAGTATGTATGGGCTTGTCAGCACCCCAGCTTTTTGGATGAGGAAAGTCGATTCCGGCCTGGTTTGCGGACATCCTTGTCCGATGCCAGATGAGAGTTGTTGGCAACGCAAAGAGCAAATTGCTGCTGCTGCTGTTGCGTGAAGGAACAGCACATCACGATGCCGCGATCCAAAGGCTATGAATCTTTGCAGCATCTTGGATTGCTGGTCGCTCGGCACAGGGGATGGATCTTCAGTCATAGCTCTCTTCGGGGAGGAACGGGTTCAGGAGCAGGTCCGGGCGTCTGCAGCCTGTGGCAGCAAAGATTTTCCTTGTACCGGCCACATCACCACCTTAAAGCTGATTCTGCAGCACGACCGCAGAGTGCTGTGCCCACGTGGTATGGCAACACTATTGCTCGGGTAAACCGAGTGCATCAGCAGTGTTCCACACCCCCTCATCGGCTTCTTGTGAAACAGCTGGATGGAATCTCATCTGAGTTGCCTCTCTGGACTTTGGTGTCACGGCTGCTTGCGAGGCGTGCACTGCTTGGCAACAAGACATGGAGCGGGAACTCGATGTCCCTGCAGAAAGCGTGTCAAGCTGCTGCAGTTGCAACAGCAGGAGCAGTGGCTCGCAGTGGGAATACAACATTTCGTCTTGTGCGGCAACGGTGCTATGGGATAAGTGGCTGGACGCCCCCTATCCACCCTGTAGCCAAAGCTGTCGGTGCAATTGCTCTGACGTGTGTCCGGTCGCAGGTAGTTCCGAGGGTCCTGGCAGTGGTTGTGGGAGAAGCGACGTGGGCAAGCACAAATGTGGCAGAGGCAGAAGCGTTGTATGCCTCAACAGCACTGGCGAACCGAACAGTGCTTCCGCCCTCCCTGGTCTTAGCTGTCCTTCTAAGCGTAGTGGATGCAGTAAGCCTGTTCCTTCGGGCAGTTTATCTCATGGCACTCTTTACGCCTGCCTTGGTGGTCGCCCCTTTTGCTGAATTGTTCCAAGGATCCGTCCGACAGCTGTGGCTGAGGTTAGTTCTTGGCTCGCTTGAGCGTGCAGGGGCGGCGTTTATTAAATGGGGTCAGTGGGCTGCAACGCGGCCTGACCTGTTTCCGCGCGATCTATGTCAGGAGCTCTCTGAGCTTCACACGAAGGCCCCTTCACATAGCTTTGCACAGACACGATCCACCATCGAGAGGGCGTTCGGAAAAAAGTTGCATGCTTTGTTCGAGGAGTTTGAGGAGGAACCTGTGGCGTCTGGCAGTATTGCGCAAGTCCATCGGGCAGTTCTGAGGTGGCGTCCCTCCGGTAGCAGCAAGGGCATGAAACGAGGGGCAAAAAGACCGCCTACTGTCGTTGCCGTGAAAGTGAGACATCCAGGGGTTAGTGAAGTAATCCGTCAAGACTTTGCAATCATGAATTGGGTGGCTCGGATATCGACGCTTGTCCCAGGGCTGCAGTGGTTGCGACTCGATGAAAGTGTGCAGCAGTTTGCCGTTTTCATGCTCACGCAGGTCGACCTCGCAAGGGAAGCTGCACACCTGAGCCGATTTATCTACAACTTTCGGCACTGGAAAGATGTCAGCTTTCCGAAGCCGGTGTACCCCCTCGTTCACCCTGCTGTGTTGGTTGAAACGTTTGAGCAGGGGGAGAGCGTGGCGAGATATGTTGAGAAGTCGGAGCGAAGTTCAATCAACAGCACTCTCGCATACCTTGGAACGCACACCCTGCTGAAGATGTTGCTGGTTGACAATTTCATCCACGCAGATCTGCATCCCGGTAACATTCTCGTTCGGCTCAAGCCGAGAAAGCGAGGTCGGTCGAAGCTGTCGAAGCCTCAACCTCATGTCGTCCTTCTCGATGTCGGTATGACCGCCGAACTCTCTACCAAGGACCGGGTTAACTTGCTGGAGCTTTTCAAAGCCGTGGCAATGCGAGATGGCAGAAGGGTGGCAAGATGCACGTTGAAGTTCTCTCGTGGTCAAAGCTGCCCTGACCCGGAGGGGTTCATACACGACGTTGAAGAGTCGTTCAAGGAATGGGTGGGCAAGAAGGGCGACTCCATGCATGCTGGCGAGTGCATGTCGGAGCTCCTTGAGCAGGTGCGTCGCCACCGTGTGCACATCGATGGTGATGTGTGCACTGTTGTTGTCACAACGCTCGTCCTTGAGGGATGGCAGCGCAAGCTAGATCCCGATCTCAACATTATGCAGACGCTGCAGACGTTGCTCTTCAAAGCGGACTGGGCAACCAGCCTGAGCGACACAATTGACGCTCTCATGGCTGCGTGAAGAAGCTCAGTCTATGCCAAGCCTTAGCCTACACTTCCCCACACTTACACAGGTCACCAACCTTAGCTTGGGGTGTGTGGCTAAGCGTGCGAATAGATTTTTCGGCACGATGCCAAGCCTACTTTGACCTCGACCACCTCTAGCAAAGCCACAGTGGTTCATTTTCTCGAGGCCAGTTAACTCGCCAGGCTAGCTGCAACAGAAGATGTGTGGTGGGTTAATGGGGTGTTTGGTCTGGCAGAGGAGGGAAATCTTCTGTTCAATTCAAATTCTGCGATTTCCGTTTTCTATTCAAGTCCATGATTTTTTTTTTTTTTTTTTTTTTTTTTTTTTTTTTTTTTTTTTCCGCTTGCAGTTTGCAGGCTTTTCAAATTCGTTTTGACGGGCGCCACCTTTGCCTTCCGTTCCTGCTGCGTCTCGTCTCTCAATTGGAGGGCACCTCATCATGTTTTGACGAGGACAGAAAGTTCAGTTCGTGTAAGGAGGGGGACATTTTGGTTTCCTATGTGTTTCTTCATTGTTGCTTGTTCATTGCCGTGGGAAAACGTTTGTTCGAGTTTCGAGAGAAGAGATGCATTCTCAGCAGCGCAGCGAAACCGCCATCATGTGGTGTGTAGGAGATGAGTCTTTTGTAGGCCAACTTTCACCTGCCGGATAGCAACATAGCGAAGGTTGTGAACCCACTTAGATCAGGGCGCTAGCCATCTTGGTTAGTCGAACTTTTTCGTGTCCTTTCACTCTTGCCGTGAGTCGAAGAGGAGGGACCGACGGAGGGAGGTGAGGACGCACAGAAGGCGGGAGAGAGTGAAACTGCGCTTTGATCTGTTGTTTCTCGGAGAGCCGCGAGAAGTGAGGGCAGAGGGAGGAGGAAGGGGAAGGTGTATAATCAATGCCTTGCCTATGTATTTCTAACGTTTTGCATATCCGTGTTTTCCTGCGACCTTCTTTACAGTCAGTCCTACATACGCGCGGGCATCGTGAATGACTATGCATTCCTTTTTAAGAATGTTTTGTGATTTCACCCTTTGTTTTACGGTTTTTACCCCCCTGTACAGGGACGGAGAGTGTGTGCATCTCCAGTCCTGTATCATCCATGTCTGAATAGGGGGCATATCTGCGCTAACCAAACAAGCACACCGTGCGGCGTGCACTAAGACTTCAGGAAATAAAAGGAAAAGAAGCGTCTGGCAGTCCGTAAATATTTCTGAGCAACTTTAGGCTGAGGAGTTTCCAAGTTGAGGTCATAGAGTTTATTATGACATAATCTAGGAATCTTTAACGGCATAATCTAGGAATCTTTAACGGCATAATGGCATAATCTAGGCATCTTTAACGGCAATGATACGTGAAAGTGATAATGAAAATCTTATTATCTGTTTTCTTTACTCATGAATTGTTTTTTTGCGCCCATTGTTCACACTTTGAGACCGAGATGGGAGGCTTCAAGTGGAGGCCGTGTATGCATCTCAGCAGCAAGCTGTTTTGTTGAAAGAAAGGTCATGACATCATACTGTACGACAATTTCTTTGCAGTATGAGAGTGGCGAAGAAAGAAAGAAAGAACGGACGAAAGAAAGGAGAAGATGAAAGGAAGAAAGAACAAAGGCACGGTTCTGTCTGTTCAAATTTTGGCTATGTTTTCTCGTTTTGTTTAAACCACCAGGACTTGGCCCGGCCATCGGCCGCGACGCTTCCCCGTTAACGTGCCGTGGCATTCGGGCTTCGGGCCGGACCACAACAGCTGGAGGCGCCAGCCATAAGGAAAACAGAAGGTCGCGCTGGCGGTTCGTCAAAAATCCGCTCACAAGGTGCTCCGAGGCCTGGCATCGATAGCTGGACCAAGTACTGGTGGTTTAAAAGGGGTAGCCCCTAACCTTATTTTGCGCTTTGATTCCATCAGGATTCAAACTCATGTGGCGAGGTTCTGCCTTTACCAAAAAGCGATCCTGCTTTCTTGCCTTTATTGCTTCATCAACCTTTATGCATACAGCACACTGAACAGCCACACCAACCCAGTAAGATTTGCACGATACGAGTACACTTGTGAACCTATATACAACTCAAAATGCTGTGCACAGGTTTCTCAAGTTTTGTGGCTATGGCCACCGCCAACAACAACGAGCAGGTAACCCTCCCCTCTTCCCCCCATCTTTTTGTCCGACTGCTGCGCTCAAGTCTCACCATCTCTCTCTGAATGTCGTCACTTACTCTCTCAGACTTGGTTATCTGAGGGCCTATGGTGCCCTGCACCGGAGACTATTTCCCTTGCCAGGCACTGTGCAGGCATCCAGGATCGTCGGACACCATAATCCAGCAGCGCTCCTATATAAGCCATCATTGAAGACGAGGAGGCTCCTGGCTGCGGCCGCACTTTCGTGCATCCAGGTACCCCTCCCACTGGCTGGCACTGTTGGTCCTGTTGGGCTTTCAGCAACTGACAAAGATTCGGACTGTTCTTAGACCCTTCCTGGGACTGTGCTGTGACTCGACTGCGGCTTACATGGCGGATCTCTGCCTATTTTGACTACTGGGGACTACTTCTGTTCGTACAGGTCCTATGCTATCGGATCTCTATTTTGGCCTGTACAGTACCTGTAGACACACACACACACACACACACACACACACACACACACACACACACACACACACACACACACACACACACACAATCAATCAATCAACGTGGCGAGCCTTGTGCATGAGAGGCATGGTAAAGGGGGAGCTGCAAGAACAAATGAAAGGTGTACCCCGAAGAAAGCAAATGTGAACACATTCAAGAAAGGGATTTACATGCAGCTATTGTACTTCATGTTGCTTGCTATTGAGGTTAAACTGTTTCATTGTTGGGTTGTTCGTACTCAAGGGCTTTTGTTGTCGGTCATGGGATTAAATGTGCTTTGACTTGGATCTGTTCATCTGGGTGGAATAGGGGCTGTTGTGGTGAAAACATTTCAACACACACACACACACACATTATGCTGTTTTGTGGGTCGACGTAGCGGGCTCTCCAAGTTTGTTTGGACCTATGGCGAATGTGGTCGATGCTTTCTTGCCGGTGGAGTCCTCCGTCTTAGGTAAGCTGCTTCTTGCCCTACACCCTTTTATGGATCAATTAAATATATGTTATATATGTATATGTGCAAGGGTGCTGCTTTTGCGGCAGACGGGTGCGTGGGCACTTGGCGCTGAACCACACAAACGTGGCCAACTTGCATTTTCTATTATATTGTCTCTATTATGCTTTTTCGTTATGGATGGTTTGTTATGATTTGTGGAGGAAATGAGAGAGAGAATTTGGGGTGCTTTAACAACACACACACACACACCTGTCTCTTATACACATCTAGATGTGTATAAGAGACAGAGAGGGGGGGGGGGGGGGGGGGACGCTGGTCTGTCCACGAAGTGACTCGGATATGTGCCACTTCATTCCGTTTTGTTTTATGTCTTCTAGGGAATGGTCGAAGACACACGGGACGACCACCAGGACGGCAGACATCAAAACGGTAGTTCAGATACATGATCGAATTTTCCGTATCGGACAGCAAATGCCAACCAGATTGGATGTCGAACACGCCACTTATACATTACAAGCCGTGCTGAATGGCAATGGTACACTTATTGTTGAACGCGACTTCCGTTAACCACCCCCTGAGCAACCCTCAATCACACCGTCTCGCCCCACCGGACTGAGACTTACGCTTACACCCACACCCACACCCACAGACA